TTATGTTTCTGACTTCACACAAACGTGGAGGTACGAGCAGAAAAGGCTGCTTTATGTTCTTTGCAGGAAGGGCTGCCCTCATTCTGCGCTCTCTCCAGGGAGAGTCACTGGAAACAACAGAGAGAGGTGCAATAAACTTGGAACTAGGGCCAAAGACCTGCTCCTGCCTGAGTTTTCCCCCTGGTCACCTTGCCTGTGATGAGTGCAGTAAAGGAGGCATTAAATACCTCGGCCTTCTCTGCATCGTACACTATTAGACTGACCGCTGGATTCATTAAGGGACCTACCTACTCCTTGGTGTGCTCTTACTCCTAATACACTCAATGAATATTTTTTTTTGTTGCCTTTTACATCACTTGCTTAAAAAAGAGAGGCGGGTGACCATCCAGCCCAAGCAGTACAGCAGAAGTGAGACTGCAGAAATGTGAATTAATAAAAAGACGCCAGAGCCCAGAGCTGCTGTTGCACCAGGATGGAGCTGGTGTCTGAGCTGGCTGTGCTCCGGCTCCCTGGGTGAATTTGTAAGTTAGTAAAACTGACTTCTCCTCCCCTGCTGAGTCTGCAGCTAAGGAGCAATTACGGCTCTTCACCTTCTCCAGGATTTACAAAAATAAATGTACAATTGCAACTATGCCTCAAGACCTGGACTCCTCTACACCATTACCTTTTATTTTGAAAGGATTCAGAATTTCTGCACAGCTTTAGGAGAGAGGATTTAGGATGAGATTTTTCCAAGAGCTCTTGGGGAGTTCAGCACCTTATACCCATAGACATCCATGGGAACTGGGCACCTAATTACCCTTGGCTCCTTGGAAAATCCCTGCTGTGATAACTTAACCAGATGCACTTTCTCCAACCTACTGCTCCAGACACATGCGACACACATCAAAATGCCGGATGAGTTTATAGCATAGTCCACCCCCCACCTCCCCCTCGCTTCACAGCAGGAAGCAGAAAAGCTCTTGTTCCTGGGGACTTACATGGGCATAAAGAGTCTTGTGGATTTATGGCATCTTGTTGACAAATCATTGCTGCTGTTAGCACTGTTTAGCTGGGATAGGCAGCCCGGTGAGGCACTCGTCATCTCCATCTGAGCTCACCAGCACATGCCGTGAGCGCTGAGCTCAGCAGCTGGCCGCGTGGGGTGGGCACCGCTGTGCTCGCCCTGCCCCTGCCCCTTCCCCTCCCCATGGGGACAAGCACCCCTGCAGCTGAGTTAGGATGTGGGAGAGGGGACAAGTGGTAGCAGTGCTCACCCCCTGGGCTCTGGAGCATGAAGGGGTCACGCAGGCCAACCCCAAATGAGGACAGGATGCCAATCCATGCTGTAAGAAAGAGCGGAGTCGCCTCTGACGTCACCTCAGGAAAGAGAAGCCAAGAAATGGGAAGCTTAGAGACAGAAATGACAACATGACACGACACGAGCATGGAGCACAGAGAGGCCTAGTGTGCCGCTGTCTCCGCAAGAACCACGAACACCTCCAAACCGTGACCACGCAATCGAAAAACCCTTCCTATGTGGAACATGAGCAGCACGGAGGGACAACAGGCCTCTGGTTACACAGCTCTCAACTGCTGCGGGCCAGTGCTTGCAAAGAGTCTCTATTTTACAGTCCTGCTTTTTCACACAACTGGAACGAGCCACTAATTTAATGAATAAGGAGACACTCTAGGCAGAGCGCTTCCCACAATACATACAGCACGTCTCTTCCTCGCTGGAGCTGGAGCTGGCAGGCGCTGGTGGGGAAGGACATCCTCAGCGGCCCATTTAGCTCCAGACAACAAGGGCGTCATTCTCTGCCCCGTTGGCCGCCTAACTGGCAGCTTCTAGTCAGCCGAGCGGTCTGCTTGGCACGTGCTCCCAGGTGGCAGGGCTGCTGCTGCATTCATAACGCTGCGTGCAAACAACCACGAACGTGAGTCCCGGGGAAACAAGGTGACAGGAGGGGCAAGCCTGGCCGGTGGAGCTCTTGCCCCGGACACAAGAGACCCAGGTCTTCAGGTCCCACTGCCACTGCCCGCTGCGCCACAACTCAGGTATGACCCAAGCCCTGTCCTGCACCCCTTGTGCAGCCGAGCCCCTGCCCCTCGGCGAGGCAGAGCAAAGAGGGAAGCTTCTGCCTCGCGGGCACAAGCCTGCAGGCAAGACCCGATGCCCCTTCCTTTCCAGAACAAGCCACCCCCGCTCCAGCTTCTGCCCCACATCTCTCTTGCCTGCTTCCAACACAGCACGCAGAAGCAGCCTGCCTCGTGTCTGCCCAGGAGCATGGCGAGTCGAGCACCCTTTGCAGGTGTAGCTGCAAAACCCCCTGGATGAGGAGCATTCGAAGCCGGGTTTCTGGCTTCCCAGGCACTACCCTAACCACTCAGGTCCTGGGGCTAAATCGTGGGAAGCCTCTTCTGCTACCTGTAGCTCTGGGCCACCTACATTTCTGGGCCTTTGACACCAGCACGCGTCCACCAGGGGAGAACGCGTATAGCCAAGCACGTGCATAGCCTCCCACGCACACACCACGTACGGGCCACGTGGCAGCAAACAGCACCCCTGCCTGCACCGAGGTGCCAAAAATGACACTGAGGCACCTGCAAAGCTGGCGCTTGGATGGCTCCAAGGGGTCTTCCCCTCGCCTAGAGAAACACCCCGTGGGGTGGCAGCAGCAGTAAGCCGAGTGACCAGAGCGGGCCGTGCACATGTGCAGAGGAAGGAAAGTCACTGCTGTGACCCATGACCTATCACACACGGTCCCAACTCCCCTTTAAATGGGAGTTTTGTCCAGTCTCTGTGGTTGTGACCCACTGGGTTTGTGCCAGGGGCTTCCCTTGAGGCTGGATCCACAGAAAACACAACTCTGTGCCAGCAGCAGGCATGCTATAGCAGCTCATGGTTTTGGGTCCCTGGATCAGGGCCCAGTTTGGGGGATGTTGTAGTGGGTTACAGGCAGATGACAAAAGAGCAAAGAGCAGCAAGTCCTTCTCGGTCTTGCTTCCCAAGTAAAATGTGTAATATTTGGACAAAGATGATGTATCCCTGGCAGGCGAAGCTATCGCAGGTCCTGGCCAGCAACCCCTTCCCAAGGCTAGGAGTCCTTGCTCGCAAGAGGCTTCCCAAAAGAGCTGCTTACATGAATAACTGCTGCAGTGTCAAAGCTATAATGAGCACGATGACTTTTCTCGCTTGCCTCATAACAGTCAGGATTTGATCAGCGTGCGAGCCTGACTGCTCTTGTTAGGGACACTGGTACCAGCAGGATTTAAAAAAAAAAGAAAAAAAAGCAAGTTTAAGGGAGTCAGCATCCAGCAGGATTTCAGTGCTTAACTCATAGGAGTCTGCTTTGAAAATCCCAGCCAAAAATGCTCCTTGAGGGTCTGAACTGAGTGAGACCAACACCACGTGCTTTCCAAGTGCTCATCTCCTCCTCTCCCTAAACAACACCGTCCTCCGCCCAATGCAATTAGGATGCTTGCAGAGAAGGAAGGAACCCATACGGCTGTTTCCATTGATTTTGTACTCGCCAACAAGGCATCCTATTGCCCACAACCAGGTGGCACATTTCTATACATCTTCTGCAAATAAATAAGGCAGATAACAGACCACGGACAGTAAAGTACTGAGCCTGCTGGGTAGAGATGCTGCATGGTAGCCATGGGGCACAATGCCTGCTATAAGATTGCCTACTCCGAGTTTTTCTTTGCTCACAGATTGCTGACACAGTCAATTTTTTCTCCAAATTTTGAATAAAGAAGTCATGTGCTTTTGTTCAGAAGTGCTCCATCTGAAGGGCTTTCCACAGCCCTGTTTAAAGAGCACAGTTCATTGCTTTCATGTTGTAAGAGGCTGCTTGTATTGCAATAAGGAGACATTTTAATAAATTACTATGGAAAAGACACAAATGCGTGGAACGCCAAGGAATAGCTGGCACCGTTTACAGTAAGAGGAACGGGGCATTACTGCTGCTGATCAAAAGTGCTCCAATTTCTCCTGTATACAGGCTAATCACAATGACATAAGGACTGCCATTTACTGGGTCAGACCACATAGGTCCGTCTTGCCCAGTCTCCTGTGTGTCGGCGGCAGAGAGCAGGTGCTGAAAGGGGGAGTGCCCAGAGCCTGGCCAGGGTTTTTTCCGCTGTTCCTCTCACTTGCAGCCTCCAGTTCATTGCAGAGACACTGATCTCCTCTGGCTCTCACAGATGGAGAAAAATGCTCTCTCCCTACCTGTGCAAGCAAAAAACGGAGTCCAGCCAGCACAGTCTCTGCTTTTCCAGATCACGGCATCTCGAGTGCCTGTTCGGAGGTGCACACATAGGCTACGCTCCTCTTCTAACCCATGAGAGAAACCTGGGGCCCCGGGGGACCCCGAGATGGGTTGATGAGTTGGGCACGTGCAGAGCGGGAAGGCGTGAGCAGGACGTGCCTTTGGGCAGTGCTTGCAGTACAGGGCAACACGGACGAGCCCCTCGGCCGTTTGGGAAATGGGACTGAAGTTTCTAGTTAACTTGGGAGCTTTTGTAGAGGTTTCCTTGGGAGTCTGGTAGCCCTGCCCCTGGGCACACACCCTGCTGCAAAGTGGGGTCAAATCCTGCCGCGCGCATGAGTCAGTGCTTCACGCACACTTTGCCGTGGGGTTAGAGACTGCCCAGCCCGCAGGTGATGGAGAATCAAGTCCTCCCTTTCGTCACAGCGTCTTACAGAGGCCTGTGCTTCTGGTGGAGCGGTTCTTAACCAGGGTGCCGCAGCACCCCGGCCTGCCTTGAGATCCTTTCCAGGGTGCTGTAGGGTGCCCCACAGTCAGGTTTTCTAACACGATTCACAAGATAAGCCCAGAGATTTCAACAGAAATCCACAGTTGTATCTTCCTGAGTTCTTTGCACCAAGACAGCACTGCTCCACTGGTTTTCTACAGGCAAAACAAGAGTGAAAACTAGGAGCTGGTGTTTTCCGAGGGCGCCTCGAGTCTAAAAAGGCTGAGAACCAGGCGGTGAAGTGCTGGAAGCTGGGCTCACAAGTAAGTGCCTCTTGTCTGGAAGTCGGGGGGCAGCGGGACACGTGGGGGCTTCCTCCTCGGTGTCTGGGTCCTGGGGCAGTTGGCAACAAGCAGCAGGATCCCTGCGGCGCAGGTGCAGAGGGCGCTGGCCACCGCCATCCAGTAGGAATAGCCCAGTTCATAGGTCACCCCAGGGATCCCAAAACTGACCTGAAAGAGAACGCAGACAGTCAGGTTCACGGCCCTGGGCAGTGCTGGATGCAAGCACCCGCATGCGTTTTCAATTAATATATCACAGTTACTGAACTAGCTGCTCCTTTGATGAGTTTTCCTCTCAGTGCCATGCTGTAAGTCACAGGCCTCAAGCCACGGCCTGTCTCGGGGCCATAATATTCTCCCAGTGCCCGGTTTGGAGCGGGCTGCAGGTCGCAGTCACTTGTGTTATCAGCTGTGCTCACCTCCGCGGGTCTGTACGTTCCCTGCAAAGCTCTTCTCTACCTGAGATCAGTAACAGTGATAACCACTGATCAAAGACCCATCCTCAACCATCATGTTCATTATTTAGAGCCAAAGCATTTCAAAGAGAAAAGTTCTGCCACGGGACGGCACGGCACACGTGGTGAGGCAGACAGGCTGAAGAGTGCGGTACGAGCTGCTCCCAGAGACAAGGACGGGTAGGCGAGACCCCTGCTCTGTGCTCGCCTGCTTGCGCCTCTGGTCAAAGATTTAAAATAAATCATCATTAACTGAACACCAAACACGGCACAAAACACCGTCCACATCACAGAGCGCAAAGGTCCAGCTCCCCGTGCTGTCCAGGTGCCTCGCCTTCTTGAAACCAAGGAGAGCCAGGCGCCTAAATACTTCTGGGGGATCAGCCCAAGAGCTGAATCAAGTCCATTTAACTCCTTCTCTCAGAAATGAACATTGCGGACCTTCCTGGGGGGGGAGAAGGGCTTGCTTGAAGGAGGAGTCTGCCACAAAAAGCAGTGATTTTCAAGTAACACCTTTTCTGAGCATCCTTTCAAGTGCACATCTCACGGCATCTTCCAAGCACAACACTCACCTCCAGCCTGTACTTCTGCACGGTGTCCACTGCGTACCAGAGAACAGCTGCTGCGCCCGACAGGCCTGCAACAGAAGGGAAGCGTTGCGCTCGGGGGGTGGCCTCACGCTCCTGGGCGGGACGACCCGGGGTGATGCTTTGCATTTCTGCCTGGACAGGAATGCAGTTTAAAAGGGGAGATGCTCCTGAAGTGTAAGCTAACGTCCCTTGCAGACTCCAAGTCCAACACTGTCCTGGGCCAGATCTCAGTTCAGACTGGGTGCAATTCTGGGCAGTATTGCTCCCAGGGCAGATCACAGTTAAAGGCTGGGGAGAAAGGCAGGAGGGTGAAAATAGCCCCTTTTTCCCCAGAGCAGGGAAAGGCTGGGAGAAGGAGCAAGGCCATCGATGGGTCTCTCTAGAGGCGACACCAAGTGAAACCTGGTCCTGCTGACACAACAGCTGCTTTGCCTCTGACTGCAGTACTGGCAGGATCTCACCCAGCGTCACCGGTAAAACACTGCCCGGGGGCTGGTGCAGGGAGACAGGGGCACAGGGCACTGCTGGAGCACGACCTCTGGGCAATCTGTGGGGCGGCAAGAAGCCTGCAGCCATGGAAGAGAAGCCAGGCCAGGCTGAGCACTCCCGAAACCCCCCTACCCCTGGACAGATGTTCAAGTGCACGTGCCGCTAGAGGCCTCAGGCAGCCTTAGAGAGCAGCTCTGGAGGAAGGCGGGTGCAGGCCTAGGACTGGCTGTAAGTAAGGACATTGGCTTTACCTCCGAGAAGGAAGAGGGTCCCCGCAGCAAGGGTGAACTTGTATTTGTGATGGGCGTTGCTCCTCATCAGGTGAGTGCATCTCATTCCTACGACGAGGGAGGGCATCGCCCCAACGCACAGGACGCCGGTCACAATCACCAGCGCACGAGTGGTCACCAGGACGGCTGGAAGGACAGAAGTGACGCAGCATGAAGACACTGAAGACTAACCTGTGAGCACCAGGCCGATGCCAGCATTAGCAGCTCTGGCAACGGCAGTGACCTTGTAGGCCGACATAGCGAACATGCAAGGAGAGCGAAGTCTTGCATTACAGCAGGGCACTGGTCCTGCCCCAGGAGCAGGGCTGTCCCATGGGCCCGATCCCAGCACGGGGCTCCTTATGGGCTGGACCCAGACCCTCCTCCTGCAGCAGGCAAGCAGCAGTGGCCACGCTGGCTCCGGCAGCTGCAGGTGTTAACGCAGCTCACACTCGCAGCGCCGGCACCGACGCGAGCCCCCAGCCGGGCTCCGTACCTCCAAATTCAGTGGTAGGCCCCACCCCTGTGCCCCTGACCCCCAGTTCCTGGCCCGCAGGACATGTTTGATAGTGATACCCCTGCAACGAAGCAAACGTGGCGTCACAGCTCGGACACGGCCTTCCCTTTGCCGACACTCCCAGCCTCGCGGCAAGTTCACCTCTCAACCTCCAACTTCCATCTCCAATGAAGACTTAAAAACTGCAGCACCCAACACAAGCACAGCCCCTCAGAGCGAGTGCAGAGCGGCGGGCAGGAAAGGGTGGGCGTCCAAAGCCCTGGCAGCAGGAGAGGTGAAACTCAGAGTCCTCCCTGCAGAGCTTTTCCCAGCCTGGCCCTCGAGAAACCGTATCATTTGGTAGAGCCCTCCTTCTCATGAAAATCAGACCCTGCACATGACGTGCGCCTGCCTGGGTATCTGGGCTGCCACGTGCCTCAGAGCTAGGGAGCAAATGCACCCACAGCCAAGAATCAGATGAAGGAACAGGCCGGCAGCTCGAGAGGAGACTTGTTCTCAGCAGCAGGAAAGGAGCTTGCTGCACGATTAGGATTTCAATCCCGCAGCGCCTAGAGGGGTCAGAGGACTGCCGTGCTGGGTGCTGCGCACACTGGGCGTGGGAAGGCAGGTCTTGCTACACAGACGTTGCAGAGGGGCTCGGAGCATGCCTCGGCGACCCGCTCCCCTTAATAAAACCCCGGCCTGCAGGACGGCGTATTCCTTACGCTGCGTGTTCGGTGACACGCGGGATCGCCGCACCGAGTCCAGCCCTTTACTCACCAGGGTGCTCGCTGAGATAGGAGGTGGGGATATCGCACGTCCGGAGGCTGGCCACGTTGTCAAACACGCACTCGCTCCAGAGCCCGCGGCACCGGGAGCTCAGGCCCACGGACGAGTGGGGATCTTTGGCGTCTTCCTGCAGAAGAAAAGGAAAAACCACCTTATTCAAGGGCAGGGAACCAGCCCTCCTCCTGGCACTCGTGGGAGCGGGATTGAGCAGCCTATACATCTTGTTTGCTGTGAAACGAAACCTTTCATTTGTTGCTACGACCTTAAAATGAGTTGGGGTTTTTTTAAGTAACGGTGCAGTGAATTTGAAATAAAACATCACTTGGAATTGGAAAAACACGACACCTTTTTGGTGACAATTTTGTGTTTTGATTTTAAAAAATGACCAAAGCAATTCAAGACATCGATATAAATTTGTGCACTGCTTCAGTGCACTTGACTAAGCTTTTCCAGCTAAAGGGGTTTCAGACAAATGCTTTCTAGTAAAGTATTTCAGCATCTTGGCTCCAGCGAAGTCCCAGGATGAGGCACAGGGCGGGCGGGCAGCGAATCAGGGGTTGAACGGCGTGGGCAGGCAGCGCGTGGCGGGCGCGTGGGCACCGAGGAGCGAGCACGGATGTCCCCGAGGAGGCTGAGGAGCACCGTTGGGGTGGCTTTGCCGGTGCCTGGAGCGCAATGACAGCCCCTCCGTCCGGCCGCGGGCCACGCGCCACCCACCCACGCTACATGGCTTGCTGAAGGACCGGCCGTGCCAACAAGCACGTCCACCCCGGGCTGTCCCATGTCCGTCTGAGGCAGGAAGCCGCGTGGTCACTGTCCCACCAAAGTCAATGGCGTTTTGCACGGCCTTCAGCAGAGCCTGGCTCCCGGCCGCGGTATTTTCTGCTCCGAGCGGCGGGGGGCAGAGGACAAGACCTCCCGCGAGCAGCTGCTGGAGGCTCCAGGGCTCAGGAATGAGGTTTTCTCAGAAAGTCCCTTCCCGCGGCGATTGGAGGGTGGGTGACATTTCCAGTTGCTGGAACCCTGTCAACAGCTTAACGAGCATAACTGTCCCCAGCTGCCTCCAGCTGCTGCTGTTGCCGCGGCCCGGTGTTGGTATGACAACTGGTTTCTCACTTTTACAACAGGGCAGCGGAGCCAAGTCCTGGCAGCTCCTCAGCAGGAGCGGCTGTTTCCTGCCGAGAAGCAAAGGGCACGCATGGCCGGGGACCCAGGCTGCGCCGTACCGAGACGCCTGGCGGCCCCCGGCCACCATTTAGTATCGGGCCCCCCTTTGCCAGAGATCACGATAATAATAATAATCAAAATGACCATTTTGGGGCCCCCTTTCTGCCTGGGCCCCAGGCAGCCGCCCGGTTCGCTCATGCCTGTGTCCGGCCCCAGCACGTCGCAGGGCAAGTCGCTCTGCCTCCCGCCTCTGCCCTCCGCCGCCGCGCCCGCGCTGGGCAGGACGGACCGCTACGGTCTGACCCAGGAAATGGCACTTCTTACCTTCTTACCAAGACCTCAAGTCCAGGGGTTTTTAGGACAGAAGCAGAATTGGTCAAAAACTGGGATCCCCCCACCCCCTTTTCCCCTTCCAAAGTCTTGCTCTTTTTTCCCCCCCCACCAAAAAAAATCTGGTGCTTTCTAGAAGGGAGCGTCCTGCCCGTCGCGTCCAGCCGCCTTCCTGCTCAGCACAAGCTGGAGCACGGTCCGCTGACCCCAGCATCCAGCCCGGGGCGCCCGGCCGAGCTGGAGCAGGTCTTTCAGAGCGAGGGGGACAGGGAGGAAGAGACCAGGAAGGCTGCGTGCTACGAGCCGTAATCCCTCTGCATCCAGCTCTCGGCAATAGAGCGAGAACTAGTTTAAAATCCGAGCTCGGCTAGTGTCCAAGCTTTCTTCTGATTTCAGTTCACATGGTTGTGTCCTCTTCTCACTTTGCTTTGAGTTTCAGGTTTGACCTGAGAGCAAAGTAAAGACAAAGCAGTTGGTTTTAGCATCAAAATTATAAGCTGTCCCTGGTTCGTGCTGAGCTTGCAAGCCTTCTGACACTCAGTGAGCAAGCTCCCTTCAGGGGTTGGAGATAAACACAAAGCAGGTGAGCTTTGGTTTCAGGATCTATAATGCAAGTTTGGCTCCGGATCACTTTCAAGCGTATGTGCCAAATGCTTTGCGAACAGAGGGTTTATACCTTGTCTACCGAGTCAAAGCTCCACCACGTATTCGACATACGTGATGCAGCGAAATCTCGAATAAATGCAATTGCGTTCTGCGGGTTCGTAACAAATGAACCCACCGTGACACAAGCTCGCGGATGTTGGGTGTAGTTCTAGATACGGGAGGAAAGAGCTGAGGGTTTTGACAAAGGAGAGAGAAAGAAAGATTGCAACTCGAAGCTCATGTCAACTCTTAAAAACAGAAGTATTTCCTGAGGTAGGAAGCAGCGAAGTAATGTGAGCGGTGCGCTGTCCCGGGGGGCACCTCCAGGTGCATGCCCAATGCTCGACAGCCCGTCGCTGCCTTGGCCGGTGCCGAACCAGAGAAAGCCAAGCCCTTCCCAGCGCCCCGCCGGGCAGACGGTCCCAGGCCCAAACGACAGGCCCTGAAAGCCAAACTATCGGCGAAAGGGAGGGCTGTCACCAGGGCCTCTCTCCTCCAAAACCCACCTTCCCAACATGAAGGAGAGGTGCCCGGATTTCACTTCTTCCTAACAACAGATCCCAGAAGTGCTGAGGCAGATCAGGAGATAATCCTGCCAGTACTTTAAAAGCCAGTGATTAACAAGCATGAAGCTCATCCTTACCCTCCAGCAGTCTGTTCCAGCGCACAGCACCAAGAATAAGAGGCCCAGCCCTCCTAATGCCATCCCCAGCGCATCTAGCACTGCCGCTGCTGCGGTTGGGACACCCATCCCGGCTTCTGCAGCAGCTCTTCCTTCAGCGGGGCCCGTCAGCCAGGCGGTCGAGAGAGCGGGGCGGTGGGTTGGAGCAAAGGGTCCCCCGCCACTCGCGCAGGTAGCTCGCCGACGGTGAAAGCACTGGAGCAGATCACCTAGAGGGGCGGCGCAGTCTCCATCGCCGGGAGTTTGCAAGAGCAGGTGACACGAGGAGCCAGACGGAGTAAGAGGACGTGAATTTTACCGTCACAGGGAACCCAGCTGTGCACAGGCGCTATTAGAGCATCTGGCCACTGGGTGGAGGGATTTGGTGTCCACTGAGCAAAAGGGCTCCTGGGAGTAATCTGCCTAGGGCAGCAGGTGGGTAGTTGGATAACGTCTCCACATGGCTCCTTGCCAACACGGTCAAGTTCCTGCACCGTCTTCGAGGGGTAACTTTGCCCTGGGGTCATGCGACTGGTCCTGCAGCAGGCCTGCGCATGGGGCATCCACTCCACTTTTGCTCATAAAGTCAGTTTATTCCATAGCAAGCAAGTCATGCGTCCACTTCCCAGCCTGCCGGGTCGGAGAAGCAGGGTTTGTCAGCTATGGGTAGGATCTTCCAGGGCATGTCAGGGAGTCAGGTGCCTACATCCACAGACGCTCAGCGCTCGTGCCATTGGGTCCGTTGCAAATCCTATGCTAAAATACAGCGACTCCTACCCCGACCTCAGCTATTGCTGACGCACAGCAGCAGCAGGAGGGGCTAATGAAAGGCACAAGCACGGGTCGGTCCCGGGGGCACTGCCAGGACCCTCCTCTCCGCATTGCCGAGCTGAGCTGGGTGAGCACGAGGAGAGCGCCCATGACCCGTCTGCAGCAGAGGGAAGCCGCAGCTGCCTGCCAGCCCAGCTGTACCGGTCTCTCTACCGCGGGCTTAGGCACAAGCACCGAACGGCGTTTGAGTAAAGCCAAGTGCAAGGCTGGACAGGAACGAGCTGGGAGTGAAGATCATGTACAACTAGCAGGATGATGCAGAGGTCACTCGGGGATCTCTGCCACTGGACCCAGCTTTAGAAAGGCCTGGAGAGTTACGTGGATAACGAGGATGCCCTCGGTGCCATCAGACAGGGAAAATAATTTTATAGGAACGTAAAGCAGGCTTTAACTGGCAGGAATTCGAGACGGTTTGCCGGTGAACCACCACACGCTTGGGGGCCCTCGTGCCTTCCTCTGAAACAACAGGGCCTGGTCCCGCTCAGAGACGGGACAGGGCTGGATGCACCCCGCCACGGTCGGATAGAAGGAGCAAGCCGGAAAGCCTTGCTCCAGAGCGCACGTTACAGGCTCCCAGAGGCCAATACATAAAGCCTGAGAGGACAGAGAAACCCTCCCGGGGGAGGCAGCCCATTACTTTGGGATGTAAAGAACAACACTGACTCCAAGTGGCTGGTCACCACGGGCCGGCGGTGGCCTCTGAAGCTCACCAGAGGATCGTGCTTCGTAGAATAAGAAATTCTTTTCACTCCTGACAATTTTTAAGTAGTTTTCCATTTTAAAATATGTGGGGTAGTGTCCCTGGAGCAGCTATTACTGTTGCTATGGAAAGACTTGAGACTCCTTTATTGAATGGTAGCAAGTAGAAGGCAAGGCCTTCACCCCCACAGTAAATTTCTAGCCCCTTGCAAAAAAAAGCTTTGAAAGCACCAGTTGAGAGCACCTTGCTTGGATCAAAACTCCCCACCGGTTTTCCCTATGGACCCTGTGCTTCTGGATCTCGAAAGACAAGTCACAAGCCTTCATTTGCTAGGAAGCTCCTGCATTGGTTCTGCCAGGCTTGGAAAGCTCTCCTTTCCGTCAATGGGAGCTGGAGAACGAGGATTCAGTGACCCAGTCCTGACGTGTCCTTGTGGAGAAGCCTAGGGATTCTCCACATGCACTACGGATGCCTTTCTTGAGGCTTTCCCAGTGCTCAGCGGTGTCGACATCAGCAGGGAGGTCAGGAAACGTCTCACTAAGATACTGCTGGATTAGCTGGGACTTGCAAGCCCTCGGTATTGAACCTCTTCCTTGGACACTTCATTCACTTACTTCTGCTGGGTGCTTTTGCATCAGTTAAGCATAAGCATCGTCCCAAGAGCCCTGACGGAGGAGCCGACCCCACAATAAAGCAGAAGCACAAGCTCCCAAGCCGGGCCATGCCAGTCGACTGCAAACGTCTGGTGCTGCCAGCTGCTCTCCCTGCACCGCCTGAACAAGACAGGAGTCCTCCAAGCCGGGCAGCCTCTGTCCCCTCGCAGCAGACCCGGGAGGGGACAGGGAGCAGAAAACAGAGCAGCTAGTGAGGCGGGGAGCAGAAAGCGCGCACACCCCAGGGAAGACCCAACTCCTCCAGTCTGCTGTTCAAGTGCAACAAAGGCCAGATAAAAATTTCATAGATTTCATAGATCCATAGACATCAGGGCTGGAAGGGACCTCGGAAGATCATCGAGTCCAGCCCCCCGCCCAAAGGGCAGGAAGTCAGCTGGGGTCACAGGATCCCAGCAAGATAAGCATCCAGTTTGCTCTTGAAGGTGTTCAATGAAGGCGCTTGAACCACCCCCGGCGGCAGGCTGTTCCAGACCTTGGGGGCTCGGACAGGAAAGAAATTCTTCCTTATGTCCAGCCTGAAACGGTCTTGCAGTAGTTTGTGACCATTCGACCTCGTCATCCCTTGGGGCGCTCTGGTGAACAAATGTTCCCCCAGATGCTGGTGGTCACCCCTGATAAACTTGTAGGTGGCCATCAGATCACCCCTGAGCCTGCGCTTCTCCAGGCTAAAGAGCCCCAGGGCTCTCAGCCGGCCCTCGTAGGGTCTGCTTCCCTGACCTCTGAGCATGCGCGTGGCTCTTCTCTGGACTCTCTCAAGCTTCTCCACATCCTTTTTGAGTTGTGGAGCCCAAAACTGGACGCAGTACTCCAGCTGCGGCCTTGCTAGGGCCGAGTACAAGGGGAGAATGACGTCCCGGGATTTGCTGGAGAAGCATCTATGGATGCAAGCCAGCGTTTTGGTCGCTTTACTAGCCACAGCATTGCATTGCAGGCTCATGTTCATCTTGTGGTCAATGATGACCCCCAAGTCTCTTTCTTGCATAGTGCTAGCCAACATAGCACTGCCGAGCCTATAAGGATGCTGCGGGGTTTTTTTCCCCAAGGTGGAGAACCTTGCCTGTATCGGCGTTGAACACCATCAGATTCTCGTCCGCCCCCTTGCTGAGCCTGTCCAGGTCAGCCTGGATCACCTGCCTGTCTTCTGGTGTGGATGCTTTGCCCCAAAGTTTGGTGTCATAGGCGAACTTGGCCAGTCCGCTTTTGACTCCAGAGTCAAATTAAGCTCAAGCCCATTGGCTCCTGGCCAGTAAAGGAACAGCCCATAGGATCACCTGGTGCCAACCACGTGGCCCCTCGAGTAAGAGTGGATTGGGGAACAGGATCCCCAGGGCGGTTGCAGCCCTGGAGGACAGAGGCCTCCTAACACTGGCCTTCGAAACAGGACAGCGTGGGGACAGGGGAAGAGCAGGACCGTGCAAGGTCACTTGGCAGCTCCCTTTGAGGCCAGTCCGCCGCACGCTAGGCTCAGCTCCCAGTTTCTTTTTCATGGAGTGAACTTGGTGCCTCCCTCACACCAAGGGCAGCGCAGGCTCAGTGCTTCTCCCTCGGCACTGCAGCCGTCCCGCTTTGCACCCTGCTCTTGGAGCTTGCAGCCCTCTTCATGGTTCCACCTGCAGTCATTGCAGCCTACGTAAATGGCTGCCTACTTGCAGCTGGAGCCTCGGCTCCTGAAGGCTGTTCCTCCTTGCACGGGAGAGGCACCGTGTTTGGGGATGCATCGATAGCAGGGTGCACGTTTCCCTTTGTGAACACTGCGTAATCATAAACAGACTCCATTTAATAGCAAACCCTTGACAGGAAGTGAATCAACTGTTAGAGCAACCAGGAAGTCAGCAGCCTTTGAAGGCTCTTTACTTGTGGGATGGATTCACCAGAGCTGGGGGCAGCAAGGCGAGGACACAGGAGCAGGGAGGGTGGAAGGCCGGGCACAGAATTCAGCCCATGCTGCCAGCAGTTAAGAGGGGTGGGAGGGCAACAACTGCACTGAGCTCCAAATGGCAAAAGGTTTTCCGTTAAATTCAGCTCAGTTCATCTTACCGTCATGCATACCACCCCCACCAGGAAAGCTCTAGTGACTTACTTCCTTTAAGTACTTCGCTGGAATTTTTCCCCCACCTCACATGCTCCCAAATGACACCCTCTCCTCCCCGCACCTGTTTTTGGAAGATGGAATGAAGGTAAAAGATTTGTTTCTTGCAAACACTGGCGAGTAGTTTTTCATGGAAAACAGGCATTGGCAGTGAACAAGCAGGGAGGGGATGAAAAGCCGAGGGCTGCTATCAATCCCTTAGCAACAGAACACAGCAGGTGTCAAGAGGGTTTGGGCAATCTGGCTCCAGCAGGAAAGGCCTTCGGCCGAAGGCCTGACCCTGCTGTGGCCAAGCTGTCCAGCCCTCTTCTCTTCTTGAAGCAGCCAGCAGCATCCGCACAGTAGCCTGCCCACCCAGCTTGAAAGGGGTCCTTCAGCATCTCCTTTACAGCACTTGTCCTTATTCCCAATAGCTAGCTGAGCAGGGCAGGGGGAAGGGGCCCATTTTATATGTGAGTAAATGCAGCAATTCCCTTTGTAAGGACACTAAGGCAGAAAGCTAGTAGACAGGTTGAGACAGGTTGCCCGCAGGGAAGAAATAATGCAAGGCTCCCAGCTATAGACCAGATGCACGCATGGACCCCTTACTTACAGCTCAGTGAGTACAGAATTGACAACACGTTTTGAAGTGACCTGAAAAAGTGAGCTGATAAAAACTACTAAGCAAGTACTTCTAAATGTAAGAAAACAGCTGGACAGGTAAGACACTGATACCATTTAAGCTGACATGGTCCAAGTCCCCTTTAGAGAGCAACTCCATTACTTTTTTTGCTACTACTTGGTGCAGGCCTTTTCA